TCCTCCCGCTCCCACGCTAGGCTGTGCCCGCCCCCACATCCCACATTGCCCCGCGACAGGAAGGCGGAGCCGCGGCTTCCGGAACCTCCTCCTCCACTCCTGGCGGTGGCTGTGTGGGGCTGGAGGCAGCTGAGCTTTTTAGCCGGTGATGGCCGCGGCTGTCGCTATGGAGACAGGTCAGTAGCGCTCGGAGCCGCGAGTCTCCGCGGACAGACGGGTCCCGGGCCGGGACACCTGCTCCAGCTCCCGGAACGCCGTGCAGGCCTCATCTCCGCGGGGTGACAGTGCGGACCCGGGGGCGCGAGGGCTCTTGTCGCGGCTGGAAAAGCTAAGGGAGTTTGGCCTTTCCAGAGGCTGATTTGTTCGCAGGCCTTTTTCCTCACTTGCTGGTCAAACACCCACCCCGCGGGCTTCCTGGCGTGGGCGAGACTAACCCGGAGGCGTTCGATTTGTTTTCTGCGTCTCAGATGAACTTGTCTAAGTTTGAAATATCGCCGCCACACTTGTGTATTTTTCTGCCACTAACGCTTCTCACATACCCACGCGCTCCCTGATCTTGCACACGTTCCGTCTCTTTTTCAGCTTGAATTCTAAACTTTCTTTTCTGATTGACTTAGCATTCGCTTAGCTTTTGCTTAATTTAATCCCATTAACATTTTAACGCAGTATTCATATAGGGGAAGGCACAGTTATTATTACCACGTACCCCAGTGGTCACAGTTAAAATCTCTACATATGTCCTGCCCCTCCCCCCCGTGTGTTCCTGTTTTCTTTGATGACTTTAAACTTTAGAGATATAATCATTTTAATCAGGGCTTTTCTTTTCTTACCCTTGTAAAGGTTTATCCCCTCTCACGCAGTTTAAAAAACCATCACCACCTGCCCTTCATGTAGAAATGTGTATCAGCATTAGTCAGGCTTCTTTACTGCTGTTTTCTTTCTACAAGTTAATATAAAGTTACCTTTATTTTGGGTGATTTTCGTTATCTTCTCTCCTAGATGATGCTGGAAATCGACTTCGGTTTCAGTTGGAGTTGGAATTTGTGCAGTGTTTAGCTAACCCAAATTATCTTAATTGTAAGTTGTTGAGCACCTCATTGAATGAATGATTTCTGACAGATGAGTTGCAGTTCATATTAGTGTCTGCTTTTATACATTCTCAATTGAACGGAATTATTGCTGCACTTATACTGGTGTATATACTGTATATAATTGAGCAAACTGGGACCTGTTTTAAGAATTCAATGTGTGTTGGTGGTGGGGATGTTATGTGTGTAAATTCTTTGTTAGAAGTCACAAATCAGTGGTTCAAGGATTGGTTTGCTCTACAGATGCATTTTTTTTTTTTATGCCTTTCAGTTCTTGCCCAAAGAGGTTACTTCAAAGACAAAGCTTTTGTTAATTATCTTAAGTACTTGCTTTACTGGAAAGAACCAGAATATGCCAAGTATCTAAAGTAAGTTTAATTTTAATAGTCCTAAATATGTATATATTTTATTATACTCCAAAACACTGATATTTAACAGACTTCTTAGTTTTACCCATTTCTCCACTTTCAGTTGCGACCACCTTATAAGACACACTTATCTCTAACTTGGATTATTGCAGTGATCTGCCCACTGGTTATCTTTGCTTCCACTCTTACCTTTTTTCTCCACCCGCCCCCCTCACCCCCAGCCAAACAAAGCAAAATAATTCTTTATATGTAAGCCAAATTGACCTCTTAAAAATTTAAATCACAACGTGTTCCTTTCTTAGAATCTTTCAATGGCTTCCCAGTGCATCCACAATAAAATTCAGTCTCTTGAGCTGAAGTTCTATATGATCTGGCTTTGTCTTATCTGACCTTATCTTGTACTATTCACCCCATCTCACTGGTTTTCTGACCCCAAGGAACCCACATTCTATAAATGCAGGGACAGAGCTATACGCTAAAAATTTAAGAATGTAGAAAGGGGTACTTGTAAGGACGGTTTTCTGGAGGAGGTAACCTTACCAGCGTCTTAATAGCTACTGGTTTTTTAGGGCCTTCTATGTGCTGTACTGTGCCCATTTTAGAAATAAATGAACACACACACACACACACACACACACACACACACATAATTTAGGTTGTGCAAAAGATGTTGTCATTTTAATGGTTACTAAATTGCAAGAAGCATATTATAATCACAAGGCTTCCCAGTGCATCCACAATAAAATTCAGTCTCTTGAGCTGAAGTTCTATATGATCTGGCTTTGTCTTATCTGACCTTATCTTGTACTATTCACCCCATCTCACTGGTTTTCTGACCCCAAGGAACCCACATTCTATAAATGCAGGGACAGAGCTATATGCTAAAAATTTAAGAATGTAGAAAGGGGTACTTGTAAGGACGGTTTTCTGGAGGAGGTAACCTTACCAGCGTCTTAATAGCTACTGGTTTTTTAGGGCCTTCTATGTGCTGTACTGTGCCCATTTTAGAAATAAATGAACACACACACACACACATAATTTAGGTTGTGCAAAAGATGTTGTCATTTTAATGGTTACTAAATTGCAAGAAGCATATTATAATCACAAGCATTCCTTTTTGCTGGTAAAAAGTAGACTTTGAATTCACGCCTCTTTGTTTTAACTAGGCAGTCAAAAAGCAATAATGAAACTTTTTGTTTTTTTTCTAAACAAACAAAGTTTGAGAGGAAAATGTTTCAAACTTGCACTTTTTATCCAAGTCACTTTTCTGATCTATGTCCAATACAGTGGTTCCCAACCTTTTTTTGGCCATGCCCCACCTAAGCATCTCTAAAATCCTAATGCTGCCTCCCCCTCCACATAATTCTTACTATTCAAAAAGTGAACTCCTATGGAGGAAGCCTAAAGACCACTAAGTCTAGATAAGCTTCCAAAGAACATGGTGTCCATGAAAGAGAAAAATAAAAGAACAAAAGGACAGTTGAATACTGAGGAAGAAATCACTAAGAAATTGTTAAAAAAATAATGTTAAGTGATATGAAAAAATAGCAAATAGTTTCAAAACATATAATAGAGAACTGAAATGCATAAATATGTCACAATATATATTTATATACTGTATGTGAGGCCCCTAGAACCATAAGAAATGCAAAAAATTCACTGTTAATAACTCCATTCTTGAATTGTTCCCCATAATCAAAGGGGCATGTGCCCCATGTTGGGAACCACTGGTCTAATAATTGGTTCACGAAGCTGCCTGCAGGACCCTTTGTACCCTTCCTGGCTCTTTATAAACAACCAATTATTCATTTAATAATTCACAGAAAATACTTTATTAGATCCCAACATGTATGTATGTAGATTAGAGACTCAGTCATGGACACTGAATTAGACACCACAAGTTTAATTTCACTCACCACACTGCTGAGATGGTCATCTAAACTATGGCTCGAGGTTCCCCGTGAGCACTGCAGGAGTATACTGTTTCCCAAACGTGTCATTTCTACCGCTTGTCCAGTTTTGGCTCTGTGTACTCCCTATATGATTTACTTTTTTAAAATATATATTTTTATTTATTTTGGAGAGGAATGGAGAGGGAGAGAGAGATAGAAACATCAATGATGAGAATCCTGCACAACCCCTACTGGGGATTGAGCCTGCAACCCCGGTATGTGCCCTTGACCAGAATCGAACACGGGACCCTTCAGTCCACAGGCTGATGCTCTCTATCCACTGAGCCAAAACTGGCTAGGGCTGATTTAGTGTTTTTTAATTTACTCATTTAAACTTTATCTCTTTTCTATTTGAAATAATTTTACTTACAAAACAGCTTGGAAAAATAGTAAAGAGCATCCCTATATATTCTTCACCCATATATTCTAAATATTAAAAATCTTATGTAACCACAGTACAATGATCAAAATTAGAACATTAACAATATACTGTCTAACCTTATCTAACCTACAGACTTCAAATTTCACAGGCTGTCTTACTAATGTCCTATGTCTGGTACAGTATCCAGTGTAGGCTCATATGCTGCATTTTGTCATGTCTTAGTCTCCTTCGATCTGAGTTCGTCAGTCTTTTTTTTTCCTCCATGACTGTGACACAAAAGTCCATTTACCCACCACTGATGATGTTCATTTTGATCACTCGGTTGAGGTGGTAGCTGCCAGTTTTCTCTATATCAAGTTACTATTTTTTCTTTTTAATATGTTGTGAGGAAATACTTTGAAACTATGTTTCATACTTTTACCCACTAATTATCTATTGAAGATACTTGCCTCAAAGAATTTTTACTGTGGTGATTTTCTAATTCCAATTCCATCATTCTTTCTACATTTACTAGTTGGAATTCAGTTGTAAAGAACATTCCCTTGTTCCCAATTTATTCATTCATTTTTAAAAGTTACATCACTATGGACTCTTGGCATCTTAATTTTTATCTTGTGGATTATTATTATGTATGTCCTTGCTCTAGTGATTCCAGCTATGGCCACTAGGAGCCCCTTCAAATGGTCTCTGGAGTACTTCTGACATAATTTTTGAGCACTTTTCTTTGGCACTACACACTATCCCAGGCTCATCTTGTATTTTCCTTGCCTTAGCCCGGAATCAGCCATTTCTCCAAGGAACTCTGGAAAATGCTATTTAAAACCCCCAAGTTGGGCACTAAACTGTGCTTGTTAGTACCACCATGTCATTGTTCCTACGCCTTGTCAGCACACAAACTGAGAACACATATCTGTGTCTGGCTCTATGTTTCTGTCTAAAAAGTCATGAGTTCATACTGCTGTTTTCAGTTCCTGCTCAAAAATAGGGTTCATTCTTGCCTTCTCCCTTTCCTCATGTTTCTTTTTATGATAGCCAGAAATTTGACTCTTTATCCACAGTACATTAGGTCTTTGCTCAGTCTTAGAGTATATATAATTTCAGAATTTCATATCCACATGGAAAACTAGAGTATAATATTTGTGCATAGTTCTTTCTGAAATTGACTCTGACTTTTTATCATTATTGATGGAAAGCCAATAGTTATCAAACACATAATTACTAAAAATTAAAAGTGTTCCTATTCCTCACTTTGGAAACCACCAGAGTAGATTAACTTGATTTGCCCCCAAATGTTGACTCTGCTTACCAGTTATTGTGTGGTCTTGGGCAAGTTACTTAATCTTTCTCATCTTAAGTTTTCTCACTTTTGAAAATTTTGCTTAATTCTGACTTTTGATCACTAGTTTCTTTGCCAGAGCAGGAAAAAAAAGAACTATGCTACCAAAGTGTTCTAAGTTAATGTTACAGAAATTGTAGCTGAAAGATCATTTCATGAGTAACTGAATTAGAGCTTGGAGTTATTGACTTAAATTATGCCAATCATTAATTGATAAACTTAAACCCAGGTACCCTCAGTGTTTACACATGTTAGAACTACTCCAGTACGAACACTTCCGCAAGGAGCTGGTGAATGCTCAGTGTGCGAAATTTATTGATGAGCAGCAAATTCTGCACTGGCAGCACTATTCCCGGAAGCGGATGCGCCTTCAGCAAGCCCTGGCAGAGCAGCAACAGCAAAATAACACCTCAGGAAAATGAAAAGCTGGATCCAGACCAGGCTCCTAAGACTGTATATGTTGCTTCTGTACAGTGAAGACCAAAAAAAAAACAGACTCATCTTACCTACTTTCTTGTGCTAGCACTGAGTACCTTTGGTGTGCTATTTAATCCAACTAACTTTTCATTGTCAGTAGATTATTTCTGTTAAGCCAAAAATGTTCTTTGATTTTCCTTTGGATTTGTAAATTTTTATTAGTATTTAACACACACAACTAAGGACAGAAACATTTGGTGCTTTAGACCAGTTTAAGGAGGCAGTGAGGATGGGGCAGGGGGAGGGCCGCCAAACATCCTGAACTCAGTCAGGCTCTGTTCCTGATGTACAGTGGGGGCTGGGGCAGGTCCATCTCCTGGAACCTTACTGTCCCTCAGGTCAGCTACCCCACCCTTCTTATCTACATAGTAGTCATTGACTATTCCTTATCCACATACATAAGAAATAGAGTCAATGACCTCTTTAAATCCCAGAGCAGGAATGGCATAAGGTTTTTTACATTCTGCAGAAGAGGACATACCTGTCTCACTACTTGCTTTGCAAAGAGCTTTAATGGAAGAACCATTGCTATGTCGCTGACCTAGTGATGGCAGGGAGATTGATAGTTAATTGGACTCTTGACCTTAGACTAGAACAAAGATGAGGAATTTCAAATACTTGTGCTCATTTGGCAAAGCTAACATTTATTTGGCAGACATCATAAACCAAGCACGTGTTAGTGCTTAGCTGCATTTTCATGTCAGTCTTAGAACAATCTTTGTTCAAAAGGGGGAGACTGAGGCTTAGACAGTTTAAGTAACTTGCCTATGGTTACACTGCTAGTAAGTGGTAATCAGAGTGTGACTGACTCAGGTGGAATCCTTCCTCCCGCTTGGCTGTATCGGCTCTAGCCTCTTCTCCCTGCCTCATCCCAAGTAGTGAGGTACGTTCAGACTGTGAAACAAAGCTGCCTGTATGAAGTGGGGCTGGATTAGGTGTGCTGTGCTGTGGTTAGCTTAAGTTCTGCATTCTAAAGCCCAAAAGGCGTTTTAGGAACAATAGTTCTTTGTAAATTCATGGAATTTAAATTAAAAGATCCTAAAATTCATTCAGAGATTTGGAAGCAAATTCACTATTAGGGGCTTTCAGATATTCCTATTATCTCCAATAACACATTCCTTTGTGCTATTACTACCACTCCTGAAGACTTATTTTACCTATATCTTAAAGATATCCATATATTACAAACAAACAGGGTTCACGAGCATTTTTATAGCACTCCAATGTTTAGACATGCCATTTTTTAAAATCATCATTTATTTATGCCTAACATGAATTCAAAGCAAGCATGCAATTTCTTTTATACTAGAATAAATCAGGAAATCAAGACACAACTGTCATAATCAAATCTTAATCTTCAGTGAACAACATCTCCACGAGGTTGGCCTGCAGACATTCAGATTCTACCAGTTTTTGAGGCTGTAAGAGAACAGTCAAATCGTAACCCACAGCTATAAAAATGTTATTAGGAGGGGATAGAGTTGTTCAGCCTTGAATGACACAAATATTTAAACAGAAAGTACGCCATTCAGAAACTATTAACTAGTTGTAACAAGTTTTATGAAACACTTAAGATATTTGCTCTAAGTTCAGTCATTAAAATACTTGGCTCAAAACTTAGACTAAAACAGGAGACAGCAAGTCCAGTGCCACCCCCTTGCCCTCTATTCTTTAGTTTAGAATCCCAGGGCTATGACTAGAAGTTCCTTTTCAACCAGAATTATGGGTTAACTGGCAAGCAGCCATTGATGCCAGTGTTTAAGAAACCATGTGTAAATCAACTTTCTTGAGCAGAGCTTATAGAATTTTAAATTAATAACTTTTAAAAAGCATAAAAAGATGTAATACTTAGATATTTACATTACTAACAGTTTATTGGGATTGTCCATAGGGGATGGACAAATGCACTCTGAACAGCACTGTGATGTTTGGATGAAATGTCAAGACCTCTCCATATCTGAATCCAGAACGAGTTAAAAGAGTTGTGACAGGGTGAACTATAGCCCCAACATAGTTGAAAAAGATACTCACTGTTCCATATTTAAGGAGTGTAGGCACTGCAGTTATTTTCAAGTTTGTTTTGAAGTCATTATTTGGATCTTTCCAACTATTTTGAAAAGAAAAAGTGATCAAAACATTTTACTATGTTTCTTATATTTTGTTTAATATTTGATATATTCCTACATTTAGTTTTTTAGTAATCACTTTGTTGTAAACATTTTAAAAACCTTAAGAACTGTGACTTACCTATTCCCCTGTGTAAGTTTCCTTTAAAGTGTGATTAAGATAATGTATGTAAAGACAATTAAGTTCTGAACTAACACCAGACTAAATTTATTGAATTATCCTTCTAATACAAGCGGCTGAACATTCAGAATTTTGATCTGTATTTATATCTTCTAATTGCTTGACTCATCCACTGTACCTTAGACATAGAACCTGAGTCCGGGCCCTTCCCACCTGTTTGGCAGAGTGCAGTGCAAGTCTGGGGGAGAGAGTATATATTGCCACTTACTAAGGTTTTTCTCCTACTTGGCAGTAGATGAACACACATTCTTCACTAATATGCTTCAGCCCTTCTCGTACGACTGGTTCAGCTTAAAAAAAAAAAGTTGATATAAAATAATCACATCAACTCTACAACCAGGCCCTGATAAACAGCATCCCTCTCCCCTCCCCTCATGTTGCTAACAACTCAGACCTAACCTGCAGTTAACTGAGGTTAACAGAAGGCAGGTGTTCTCTGATTTGAAAGCCACTTTAAGGGTAACTACGTCCCGGTCCCGACGCCCAGAAGAATGAAAGGCATATTTGCTGACCTATGCAAAGGACATCAACTCCCGTCCTCACTAAGACGCTAATCATACTGAGGAAGTGAAAAATTGTAAAGGACTAGATGTCAAGATGATATGGGTCGAATGGTAGAAGGCACTCTTGGGGCGGGGGTGCACTTAACAGGAGAGAAGGGAACAAGGTGGGACAAGGAGGCAAAATGCCAGCTTAGAAAGCCCTGCGGATCTCCAGGAGTAAGACTCCTTCCTCTGCCATGAACTCCGCTCTCCGGCCAGAACCTCGGCCTTGCCTTCCTTCACTCCCTTTGGGCAGCAGCCCCGAACCCCGGCCTCACCCAGCACGCAGTCGGGGCACCAGCTTTTCCCTTCGGCGTCCTTAGAACCGGTAAAGTAGGCGAAAATGGTCTTGCCTTTGTGCTGCTCCACAGCCCGGGTGAAGTCCTCGAAGCCGGACACACACACCTCCTCGTAAAGAGCCATGGGGAACGCGCTCCGGGAACCTAGGATAGTCCGGGGAAGGCTTCGGGTGGTACTGCCCAGAGGCGGGGCCCACGTGGGGCGGGGCGAACCTGCTTCCGGGTGGGCTGAGCACCAGGTGACTGCAGGAGCCCAAAAGCTTGGGGAGATGGGGGGCTACGGGGGCCTCTGAGGGCCATAACTCATCCGTACCGCCTTTCTGCTCTCGCTTCTCCGACCTTCCCGTTCTGGCTCCATTCCGAAACCCAGGCTTCTTTCCTAATTTGGTCTCGGCCCCAGCCCCATAGACAATGGCTGCAAAACCTGCTGCCGCGCAGCCCTGGAACCCTTACGTGGCTCTCGAGCTCTAACGGCTCCCAAGCCGCCCTGCGCCTGTTGCCATGGCGACCGGGCGAGCGGCCGGAAACCAGGCCTAATTGAGGTCCCCCCCGCCTGCTTCCCAGTAGCCGTGCCTCGCCGCCTCAGGCCGGGTGGGCACCCGCGGTGTTGGGGGGTCCTGGGGAGCTGCGTTAGGAGTCATGGACCTGGGGGAGAGGAGAGCTTGGCCCAGGGCAGATACTGCTGCTCGTCGCCCCTTTTAACTATTTTCCTGCCTAGGCTTTAGGG